GCTCGCAGCTCCCGCCGGGCGCAGCGCGGAGCTCGCCGCAGCCTGCAGCCCTCACGTGGAAACAAAGTATCCTTTGGGTCCTTCCTCAAGGGGAGGAGCCCTGCGTGCTTCGCCATGTTCTTCCCTCGGGGAGCTCCTCGCTTCCTCCGCTTCCCTGCGGGATCTCGTCTCCCGCAGCGGCGTTTCTCTCCCGTTTCGGTCCTTTCTGCTCGCGGGTCCCTGGGAGAGAAGATCCGAGACGCGTAAAAGTGCCGTCGGCGCACAACCCTCCGCATTCCTCCCAACTGTCAGAAATGAGGACAGGCCTGGTCACTGAGCAAGCTGCCACATCCTAGTTTCTTACAGTAAGTTAGCGTAAGCCCAAGGGTGGTGCTAAGGGCGTTAGTCATAAGTGGAAGGAATAGGGAGGGGACTCGGGCACCAGCGCAGGGTCCCTGGAGGAAACTCAGCCTGCAGGTGACTCTCTGCCTCTGACGCACGGAGGGACGGGACTGCACAGCGTCATTAAATTAATAGTCCCCTGGTGCTTACTGAAAAGCAATGTGGTAAGTGGGCCACACCTGCGAGCATCCTGACCTCCCTGTGTCCACTCCCTTAAATTATATTAATAGCAGGGTTTGCACTAGGTTCGATCCGAGGACTCCGTGAAGACTGAAGTGGGACATCCAAACCCATCAACAGTCCCCAACAGGTCCCCCAGGGGTCGGCATTCACTGGGACGGAGAGAGACAGCACTAACCACAGAGCCCCAACCTCCTGCATGTTATAGCCAGGTGCAGGGAGACAGACAATTCATCCATAAGCCTAAAAGGAAAGAGGAGAATAACGAATAGTGATAGGCGCAATGATAACTAAAAACGGGATGACTCGATGCGGAACTATGGGGGGGGGGGGCTGCTTCTTTAATTTCCATTGTCAGGGAGTGCCTTTCAAAGGAATTACCAAAAAGGGGGGCTTTAATAAATGTGGTGATGATATCTATTTCCGCTTCTCTTTTTTTAAAGTAAAGAAAATCATTGCTCTCCCTCTCCTCCATTTGATTGGAAACGCTGAGGAACCCCTAAATGCCTATCAAGTGAGTTTATGCCGTGACGAGTGGCCGTCGGATGAGCAAGGTCACGACTCAGCCCTGCAGGGATGTCCAGTTACTGTGGTAGTGTCAGTTACTCTGCAGTGTTAAATTGGTTTTACACTGTACCGAGATTGTTTCATTTCTATCCATAATGGTCCATTAGTCGAAGTCAGGAAGCAAAACAGATGATGAAGCTGAGGTACAAATTAAGAGGAACTTGAAAATTGAACTACCTTTACAAATGTGCCTCCAGATTACTTTCATTAGATGCAGCAGTTGTGTTAGATCCATCAGTCTGATCAAAATGCATATTTAGCAGTCATGAATGTCTCCAAGATTTAAAAGAATAGCATAAAAAGGAAAATATAATGATGATTACTTCCACTTTGGCTTTTCTCTTATTGAGAATAAAGACTGAGAAATGCCCATAAATAATGACCTGAAATATTTTTCTTATCTCAGTCACTTAGAAACATAATGTAAAAATTACCAACATAAACCAATTGTGTTTTCCAATATCAAAATGAAAGAATTTAATGTTGTTGGTCATAATCAGATATAAAAGCAGTTTCTGGCTCTTTTGGATGTATAAAGATATAAAATTTAAATCTACATGTTAGTATACACTTGGCCCCAAAACAAAATATAATAAATATCATTTTTAAAGTCACCGACAAATCACATTTTTTAATGTAGTTAGCTTTGCAAAAGTGTGTTGGTTGTAAAATAGAAAAAAGTTTTAAAATATCTGTATATGTTCTGAATTTTTAATTTTGCATTAAGATGAGCTTTGTAATATACTCTTTAAAAACTGATACAGAATAAAATATTTAATTTAAAATTATTTACTATATATATTTTTATCATATGAAAACTTTAAATAATTTTATAAATTCCTAACAGGTTTCTACCTATTATGGTCTATACCTTTGAAAAGAATTATTGAGTAAAAAAAAAAAAAAAAAAGTTGAAAATGCTGCCTTGGTTATCTTGTCATTCAAAAGGAAGAACGTGGGAAATAAATGGAACAGCATGTTATATTTTAGGAACAATGTGATAAATATATCTTTCAAGAAAAACGAATATCACATTTACACACTTTTAGGGCTTATAATAATATTAGCAAATGAATTCACATAAGCAGTTATATAAGATTGTGTTATTATGTGAAAAAAAATTTTGAGGTCATTAGAATCAACAAAGTGTTTAGATTAAAATATTTTTTAAAAATATATTTATACTCTACCTTGTTCCAGAAAGAATTTAAGGCAGGTAAATTTCCTGAATGGATGTAATTAGTAACTAAATCTAACATGTAGTTTTGAAACAGGAATTCCTTCACTTCTGCTTTATTCTTGTCAAAAGATCATAATCTGAATCTAATTATGAGGAAATATCAGATAAGCCCAAATTGAACATCATTCTAAAAAATAACTACCCTGTGCTCTTCAGCAGGCAGTTATAAAAAGACAAGTGAAGACTGAGGAATGCCTCCAGGATAAAACAGATTGAAGAGAATGAATTGTGTGCAGCACCTGATCTGGAATCTCCCTGTAAAGAATATTATCAGGACAACAGGCAAAATAAGAATTAGGTCAATAGATTAGATACAAAAGTGCTACCTTGGTGGTAACTTTCTGAGTTTCATTATTGTACTGTGTTTACTTAAGAGAACGTTCTTGTGTCCTTGTTTGGGTATGGGAAGGAGGAGGAAGATATAGGTAAATATGATACATGTTAACATTTGGAGGGAATACAGATGAAGTGTGTGTTCTTTGTTCTATTCTTGTAACATTGCTCTATGTCTGAAGCCATAGTTTTAAAAAAGCAGTATAAAGAAAGTACAAAAACAGGAACTCTTGATAAGTGACAGCTCTTTACTATTCTCCCTTCCACATTCCTCTTATGATCAGGTGAAGAGAGCAGCTTACTGAAGGGGGAGCCTAGTTACTCAGGGTCACTCTGACAAAAGTGAGGCAAAGATGCACAGTACAGTCCCAACAGCCATCGCTGCTAAGCAGAAAGCACTGTGCTCAGATGGACAATGAGGGAGGAAGCACCTGAGTGTCTTCCCCTGTGCACAGAGCATAGCTCAAGAACCAGGTGGTAATACACCTAGGTTCGCTTATTTGCTCTGTCTACTATATGGCAGAACATATTATTATTCTCATTTTGCAAAATAAAACAAACACCAAAGGACCACAAAAAAAACCCACATAAGTATTTTGCTCAAGGCCACTCAGTGAGCATGTTGCCCCAAATTAATTGATCTCTAGTTTATTACTTTATGAAGCAAGTTTGGCATCAGCAGTGGATGCCAAACTTGCTCCATAAAGTAATAAATTAGAGATCAATTAATTCTATTCCTCCCTCATTTTCATGCCTGTCTCCCTTGTGCTTTATTGAGACCACCCTCACCCTGCGGCAACTGTGAGCGACTGGACCACCCCTGCTCCTGGAAACTTACTAGATAGTGTCCAGAAGTTTCCCTCCCCATGCTTTTTAAAAGCCCAAGGGAGCATGACACCATCACAGACTACTTGCTACTGGATTAAATACTGCACAGCAGTTTTTCTCTTCTCCAAATAGTGAAAGGAGAATGAATGAGTCACAATTATTTATAATAAGGGTGATGAATGCAGTCTCAAAGAACTAGAGGACCTCAATAACAAAAACATTCCACTAATGGTCCTTCAGGAATTCTTCCTACACCAGATGCCTTCAATAAAAATAATAATAAAATATTTTTTATGTACATCTGGGCTATGCAAAACTGAGTGTCCTTTTTCAAAGATCTCATCACCAAGCTGTAAATGAAGTTAGATTTGCCCTCTTCAAATATGGGAAGGAGGAACCCTTTGGGTTTCCTTTTCTAAAGCGGCTTAAATATTCAATAACTCTGTTACATACCAAAGAGACAGAGCGTTTGGTTCTAAAGCACAGCTGCTGTTCAAAGGACTCTGAAAATGCCTGAATTTTGGAATGGGATCTTCTTCTTGATTCCAATGGGTCCTTGAATGACCCATCCCCTGAGTATTTTCTGTAATCCCTCATGTGCGTATGACATCGAAATCCCTGGTCCTCGTGAGAATGCCTTCTAGGATGGCTGTCAGACGCTGTGACTCTGGGAAGGACGGGAAACTGGAAATGCAGAATAAAAATGTTTACAGCATAAAGAGACCATACAATATTAGCACAGAGACAGAACATACGTAAATTACTAAGTAAACAAATCTCATGTTGGACTGAAATTTTATCTTTTTCATCAGTAGGACCTTCTACAATGCAGCAGTAGAATCAATGGGTTAAAACATTAAGTAGAAAGTCCCAGAACTAGCTATGTTGATCCTCCAACATTAGGGACATATAATGAAGCATTCTAAGCCTTGAATTGATACGTATAAGTAAATTCCAAAATCATCAAAAAAATTTAATGAAGCCATACAAGTTTAAGAAATAATATAAAATGAACATTTATGTGACTTCTGTCCAAAGAAGGAATTTCTAAGCAGAACAGCAATGGAAGAAGTCATGAGGAAAAATTATTTTAACTATGTAAAAAAAAAAGGAGCTAATATGCATCGAAAACAACTTAAAATTAAATAGTAGACAAAATCCAAAAAACATGTGCTACATGTTACTAATATTAAATAAATATCCTGACAATACATAGTATATCTTACAGAGATACAGGAAAACACAGAGAGCATGTAATACAACGACATCAGTGTTCAAATCACATTGGAAAACGATCAAAGGAGAAATGCTCCAGAGAAATCGAACTTCTCAAAAGAACTGACACTTGTTTTCTCAGTTTCTCTCACTCCCACAACTAATTTTGGTCACAATATCGGTCTCAGTGTTGCCAAGTTCTGTGCACATGTTGGTCTTGATTAATTCAGTAACATTCAACCCAGTTGGCCTTAGGGCCCTTCTGGAAATCCTCTTTCCCTTGCGTTCTACCACTGAACCCTTTGGTTTCCCTTTGATCTTTCTGCCTGTGACCTCACCCACAGTGTTTGCCTCATTAGTGGCTAATTATCCCTTAGTCACCACGGGAAGTGCATATCCCCAGCAAGCCTTTCCTCCCACCTGACTGTTTCAGGTCTCTGTTAGATGTTCTCCTGGGAGTTCATGCTTCTCCTTTATGATACTTATCACAACAGTAATCAATAATTTGGGTAATTTTGTTACATGTCTCTCTTCTCCATTAGCTTGTATCTCCATGACATCAAGGACTGTGTTTCATTCTCTTGAAATCCCAGTACTATGCAGCACCTTGCCTTACTCATAGCATGAGTTTGTTAAATATCTATAGGATTAATAAATATATAAAGAATGAAATAAAAAGAAATGCCAAACGGTAAAAAGGTTTATGCTCATTAGTTGTGCCTTCAGGCTAGCCAAAAAAAAAAAAAAAAAAATGTTTCTTAATGATACAACAGTGGCAAGATGGAGGGAGACAGGCCTGTCATTCCTGGCTGGTAGGACTATAAACGGACACACCTTCCTTAAAAGCCATTGGCAAAATGTGTCATGAGGCTTAAAATATCCCTCTCCTTGGATCTATCTGTTGAGTGTTGTTATGGGCTGAATTGTGTCCCACCCTCTAATCCTTATGTTGAAGCCCTATGTGAGTCACTCAGAATGTGACTGCATTTGGATACAGAACCTTTAAAGATTAGGTTAAAATGAAGCCATTAGTGTGGGCCCTCATCCAGTGCAACTGGTGTCTTAATAGAAGAGGAAATTTGGACACACAGAGACCACTGGGGATATAGTCACACAGAGGTAAAACCATGTGAGGACACACTGAGGAGGTGGCTGTCTATAAGCCAAAGAGGGAGGCCTCAGAGAAACCAAATCTGCCGACTCCTGGATTTTGGACCTCTGAACTCCAGATCTGTGAGAAAATAAATTTCTGTTGCTTAAGCCAGTCTGTGGCACTCTGTTATGGCAGCCCTAGCCGACCAATACACATGTTTAGAAACTTACTGTCAAACAATGATCAGAAATGTGGTTAAAGATTTGTAAAGCTGCTAAGATACATGAAGGAAACCTGTATGTATAAGTCCATTTATGGTACTTGGTGCTGTGAATAAGCCAGGGAACAAAACAGGCAGAGTGTGCCCAACTTGGGACTTACGTCTGCATGGGAGATAAACACAAAACAAATAGGTCTTGTGCTTACTTTTTTTGTTGTTGTTAATTCTCACCCAAGGATATTTTTTCCATTGATTTTTAGAGAGTGGAAAGCAGGGAGGGAGGGAGAGAGAGAGAGAGAGAGAGAGAGAGGGAGGGAGAGACATCGATGTGAGAGAGACACATCGATTGGTTGCCTCCTGCACATGCTCCCAATCAGGCCTGGGGATGGAACTTGCAACTCAGGTACATGCCCTTGATCGGGAATCGAACCCAAGACCCTTCGGTGCACAAGCTGACGCTCTAACCACTGAGTTACACTGACTGGGGCCACGTGCTCATTTCTTTGGTCAACACTACAAAGGCTCAAGGTGCAATAAGAGGATATAACAGGGGGAAACTGTGTATTTGGGAAAGTGTTGGGCGGCTGGGAGGCTCAGCAGCAGATTTCTGTGTAGGCTTGATGATTAAGCTACAGTCTGAAGGAGGAGCCCCTTCCGTGCACAGGCCCTGTCACAGCAGGAGCTGTGGTGTGGGGGGAAGAGAAACCTGCTGGGGCTGGAGAGCGGGGGGCCTGAGAGGAGAGAGAGGCCTCGGGTGGGGAAGTGTTGAGGGGCTTGAAGTAGGGTGCGATCATAAGATGGTCAATCTTAAAACATACCAAACTGTGATCAAAGGTTTTCTCTGTGATGTGGGACTGTTTGTTTCCTTTCTCCTTTTTAGTATTTTTTAAGTTTTGTACAGTGAGCATGTATTACATTATCAGGAAAAAATGATAATGCTTTAAAATTTTGAGACTGAGACTCAGAAGGGCAAATACTGCATGATTCCACTTATCTGATGTATCTAAAATAGTCAAACTCATAGAAACAAAAAATAGAATGGCGGTTGCCAGGGGCTAAGAGGAGGGGAAATGGGAAGTTGCTTATCAGTGGATGTAAAATTTCAGTTCCTCAAGAACAGTGGGTTCCGGAGATCTGCTCTAGAGTGTTGTGCCTGTAGATAACAACACTGGATTGTATCCTTGAAAATCTGAGTAGAGGGTAGATCCCAGGTTAATTGTTCTTACCACAATAACATTTTTAAATAAAAAATTTTAAATGTGAGACTGGGAGTGAAATGTGGATGTCCTGTTCCACTGAGAGGCCTGAAAAGAATGGCAAGAGTTCCCATCACAATATAAATATACACTTAATATCTCCTTCTACCAGGTGAAACTTCCAGTTTGTTTGTTTTGGTGAGGGACTGTGTGAGAAACAAATGTAAAAGAGCACTCTAATGGGTTCTGGGGAGAGGCTCCCGCTTTTTAAAATGTTACCTACTATGCAAGCTCTACTTTTGGAATTTTATATGCCTTTCTAATTGATTTCCCTCACAAACACATGAATCAATGCCCTGCATAACTTATTTTTACAAAGAATGTGCTTGTTTCTCCCACAGTCATGGACAAAGCTTATGGGTCTATCTCCCACACTGTGAAGGGAGCTTTGTCACTTAGGATGGGATCCCCCATACTCTGATCTCCCCAGCTGAGCTCCCGGGGGCCCCAGCTGAAGATCCTGCAGCAGGCACTGACTTTCAGAGCAATAACTACCCAGAGCCCTGACTCTCATTGCAGAAGAGGCTCTAAACAGCTTAGCTGTTTCCACTGTGGGCCCAGAAAACTGTTGCTGTCAAAGAAAAATCCTATGTACTCTCTGCTATGTGGCAGACGTAGCAGAATTCTATGCAAAAGTAATAACAATAGTTTGTAGGTCTTAAGAAATTATATGAAATAAGAATTTTATGTGAGTAATAATATATAACATCATCAGAGTGGAGAGGGCTGTAAATTGCCGACATATAGAAACAGCGTCAGGAAAAAAATTTCTAGTTTTCAACTGATAAAGTGGTAGGTAGCTCTTGTAGAAATAATAAAGATAAGCTCAATACCATCCACTGGACATCCTTTAGGGAAAAGAAAGGATATTTAAACTATTCATTTAAGTGACTTTTTTAATTGGGGAAATAAATGTCATACCATTGCACTAAATCAGTATGAAACTGTCATGAAGACCCTATCACCAGCCATAACTAGGTTCACAAAAGAGAGCTAGGAGAAACACCTCTTGGAGCTTATGATGCTCCATGCCTCAAATACCTGGAACCTCCCTAGGGAACAATTTGATGACTTGTCTCACTCATTCAGAAACTGAAGTAGCCAAACTAAGCTCATCTAAACCACATGCCACTGAGACTGTAACCCCAAATGCCATTACATTCAATCTTATATAGTAATATTTCCCCCCACGAGGTCTCCATTGTCCGGTGATCATCATTCTTGGTAGGATCACATCTTAGTCAACTCAGGCTGCCATGAGAAAATACCATAGACTGGTGGCTTAAACAACAGAAATTTCTCTCTCTCAGTCTGGAGGGCTTGGAAGTTCAAGATCAAGGTGGTGGCCAATCCAGTTCCTGGTGTGAGCTCTCTTCCTGGCTGGAAGATGGCTGCATTCTCTCTGTGCTCATTTTCTGAAAAGGGCACAATCCCATCTGACAGGGCCCTGCCCTCCTGACCTCATCTAAACCCAATTACTGCTCAGGTTTGTGAGAAATCCTCTCAGGGGGCCATGCCGGGCCCCATCCCTGTGGAGAACAACGGCAGGGAGCCACCCCAGCGGTGAGATACTATAAAGGTTGGGAGTGTGGACCACCCTAAGGTCAGTCAGATATAAAAGTAAAGATTAAAAATATCTTCTACAGTGTCAAATTGAGACTATGAAGAGAGACTATAACATGGGGGGAAGGGGGATTTTAAAAAAAGCAAAGAATAAAACCTTGGGTGCAGGTAGGTGGAGGCTTACTTTGTATCCCCTGTCCCCTCCAATGATACAATGTGGGCGAGCACATATTGTGCTACCTTGGAGCACAGAAGCACTGACAAGGCCCATTTGGCATTAACAAGGCCCTGGGCCAGTGAACTCTGTACCTCCTGGAAGGATCTTTCATTTAGCTTAATTCTCCCGTCCGCTAGCCCGAACTATAGAGAACGATGTTAAAAGAACCATAAGCTAAAAGAGAAGATGACTGGCAAGGTGAATGGACTAAAATGTTAAAATCCACTTTCAGTGAGTAAATAAATGATATAGAAACGGCTTTACCTCAAGTCTGTATTCGTGTGATGATGGAGGGAGAGAGCAGATCAGTTCAGTAATGAGAGAGATGTCATAGTACGTTTTTTTTCCATCGAGACAATGAAGTTGAATTTTTTACTCGCTTTAAATCAACAAGTCTGGTTGCAAGGTAGCATTCTCTGAGAAGGACTGAGCTGCCGTGCCTTGTTCTTTGCCATATTTGTATTTCCCGCTAGACTGGAAGTTCCACAAGTATGGAGACCACATACGTCTTCTCTTACCCTGTAACCCTATTGTGTCTTGTGCAATGCCTGGCACATAAGTGTTCAGTAAGCATATTCAATGAATTAATGCTCCACTGCTATGGTTTTGGAAGAATCATGAGGCTGAATTCATATTAGATTCAAATAGGAAAGAGGGGAAGCTCTTCTCTCATCTGAGGTAATGCTGGTGTTATTAACAGGTTATGAGAGGGAAGGGCCTTAGATTGGAGCAGTGGAGAGAGGAAAATAGATAAGGCTAAGAGTAAGTTTTTCTTTTTAAGTTGTTTTCATTGTCCTCAAAGTAAAACACAAACATGAAATACCTAATTGTTCTCATATCGCTAATGCAAGAAAACTTTGAACACATCTTAGAGTTAGGAAAAGTTATGTATCCAACTACAGATTCACTTCACGAATATACTTCACTTCATGGTATTACGTGAATAAAGGTAAAGAATCAGCCTCCCTGTCCCCCAGGACTCCGCCCCCGTGGCCCTGGGGCCCCTGGCCTGGGTTCTGTGTGTGTGCTCCCTCTACTCCATTCAGTCAGGTGGTTGTTACTCATGCTTTGTCTCCTTAAATGTATGCATGCTTTCTGCACGTTAGTCTGAAATTCATTGTTGACTCAGAGAATCTAAACAGGTTAACTCAGGCAAATGCCCAAAGCCAGTACTAGCTGGAAAAGACATATGGACACTCACTATTTAGAAATGCTATACATAACAAATTCTGGTATTCTCTAAAAGTTTAAGGCCCCAAACACTGCAACCTAAAAGTCATCCTCTTAATAAAGGAGACTATCTCAGTTTTTAACATCCAATAGATAGTAAAATTTATTTAAGAAATTGCATTTTATGTTATGTACGTTGCTTTGTTTTTCTTATTTTCTGTGGCTCCAAAGGGCTGTTGTGGTAAAGAGTAAATCATATTTTTTCTCTTTGTTTCTTCCTGGTTCACATTATGTGGAAACTGGAAACTAATCATCCCCTTGGGTCACACATTATGAATAGCTCACTTCGTGTGGAACATAGAGATTAAAATGACAGTGTGATAAGCAGGTGTTTATAACAGAATCATGGCAAGTCAGAGAAAGAAGGGTTCTCAGAGAGCACCCAGTCCAGTCTCTTCTTTTTCACTTAAGGAACCTGAAGCTCAAAGAGGTGTTAAAACTTGCCTTGTGTCCTTGAGTACACATTTGGCAAGAGACCTATTTTCAAATATTTGTGTCTCAAAGAGGTCTCATTCCTCCACCTTGCTGATCACTGGGAATAAAAGAGGCTGTATCTGAGAACTCTGGAGCTAAAAATAAATAAAATAAAATAATAAATAAAATAAAATAACATCACCCCCGAACTCACTTGGTTCTGGGGTTGGCAGAAGCACAGGGTTGAGGAAGGATTCTCTGGTAACTGGAATTCTAAGTGTCTTGCAAAAGAGAAAAGCTATAGTATCGCTGTGTAACTGTGAAGCAGAGGACATACGTGTCTACTGTGCAGTCTTCTACCACCGTAGGCGAGCTGAGCCCATGCCCCGCCAGGCCCACCCTCTCCCCTCTCAGGGCTCTCCTGCTCTTTCCTTCCTCCCTAGACCTTGGGTGCTCCCCCTAGACCTCGGGTGCTCCGCCTAGACATAGGCAAGTAGTGCTGAGGATGGGAGAATTTTGGTTCTCTCTCCCATCAGGAAACCAAATGGGAACCAGAAGAAAAAGTATATAAAATTTATCAAAGGGGGGTTTATTACGTGGAATCCCCAGTTCCTTAGAAGTCACCAAATAGTGAAGCTATTTTCAGTATTTCAAAAGGCTACTGAAAATCACGCATTGATCCACGCCAATGCTGCACACACTATAACATCAGATTTCTTCCCTTTGACCTGAATTATATTGTCTCTCAGTAGGATTAACTCAGGCTTTTAGGAGCTCGGCACAGAAGTAAAAGGTACCTTAGGTTACTAAAAGTGAAGAAATCATTACCTCACAGAAGAAAATCAGGTCCCTTGGAGGACAACACAAAATGATAAAAGGTATTTTTGTGGATATAAAAAAAGATTTGGAAGTACTGATTTTCAACCAAAGAAAACTTTATACTGAAGGACTCTTCAAAAATTATCTAAGAGAAACCCCCCTCCCCCAGTCCAGCCCTGGCCTGTTCCCCGATAATAACTCACCGGGCAGGGCAGGGAGGCTTTCCTGGAACTGGTGTCGCGTGATCCGTGGCGGTCCCGGGGTCCTCTCTCAGCCTCCTCCATCCAGCTGTGACCCCAGAAGCTGCTCATCCATTTGGCGAAGGACACATCATCATCATCATCATCATCTCTGTGCTCCATGGAAAAGTGATTCCAAATATCCAAGGCCTGTCCCTAAATCAGGCAGAGAGAAATATCGTCAGACTCGGCTGACCTGATGAAACCTGGGATCTCCAAGAAGACAAAGGAAACTGGTATTTTCAAACGGTCTCCGATGATGGGATCCTTCAAGGAGAAAGATTTACTAAACAACCCCTTCACCATCAGGCAGCCCCAGGGCAACGTCTATTTATAAATTGTGCAGCCCACATTCCCCCCCCTCCCTCTCTCTTTAAACTGAGAGGCTTTGTAAGCCTCCCATTGCCCGGGCTTGTGCCTAAGGGTTGGTGGAAGCGCAGTCCACTCACTGCCTGATGTTCCCAGTGCTCTGCTGCCGGGGACATGTGATGGCATCTCCAGCTGTCACTGATGATCCTGCATGCCGCTCAGCATATGCCTGTGAGCTCCAGGCCGGGTCTAAAATGGGGTCACTTACAGGGACAGACTGACCTCAGCCTGCAGGATGGCCAGCTATCGGCATGTCATACCTAGAGCTAGATACTCTCCTAAGAAATGAAATTGGTATTGATATAAAATCCAGCATCTGGGGCAAAGGGGACAGGTTCTTAATTGACATTATTTACACATATACAAATGTAAATAGCCCTGGCCTGTGTGGCTCAGCTGGTTGGGCGTCATCCTGTGCACTGAAAGGTTGCTGGTGTCATTCCCAGTCGGGGCACGTGCCAGGGCTGTGGGCTCCATCCCTGGTAGGCGGCATGCAGGAGGCAGCTGATCGATGTTTTTCTCTCTTTCCCTCTCTTTTCTTCTGTCTTTAAAAATCAACAACAAAAATTTTTTTTTAATGTAAGTGATTTACATGTGCATGTCAAATGAATAAATCTTAAGTACATAATCTGATGAATTTTCACATACATTTACCCCGTATAACCACCACCACGCAGGTGAGGACACAGAACACTCCCCGCACCCCAGCAGGCTCCCTCTTTCTTCCTTCAATCCATCCTCTCACCAAAAGATTACCATTTCTGACCTCTGTCATCATAGACCAATTTTGCCTCCTTTTGAACTTTCTTTCAATAGAATTATTTTGTCTCCTTCAACATTACGTTGGTGAGGCTTATCCATGCTTTTGCAGTAACAATAGTTCATGCTGTGTCGTAATGTACTGTATGAATATTCCTTTTTTTTTTTTAATCTCCTACTGGTGGTCATTTGGGGCTGTCATTTGGGTTTGCAGTGGGGCTATTGTAAACAAAGCTTCTATGAGCATTCTGGTCCCTTTTAGTGGCCTTTTTTTTTCTTTTCCAGGTAAGGAGAATATTACATATATTGAGCCTCTACTTTGTGCCAGGTATAGAGTCAAGTATTTTACATATGCTATTTTCATTAAAACAACACTGTTGCTGGGAGATTACTACTAAGCAGCACAGCCAAGTTTGAAGCATGAAGTAAAATAACAAAATCTAGGCCCTTTGCACTACTCCCCAGTGTTCCAAAGGGATCTTTGAAAAATCTTGCTTTTTTTTCTTTTTTTTATCCTCACCTGAGGACATTTTTTCCACTGCTTTTCAGAGACAGTGGAAGGGAGAGAGAGAATGAGAGAAACATCGATTGGCTGCCTCCCGCACGTACCCTGACCAGGGCCGGGGATCAAGCCTGCAGCCGAGGTACGTGCCCTTGGCCGGAATCAAACCCAGGACTCTTCAATCCACGGGCCGACGCTCTAACCACCGAGCAAAACAGGCAAGGGGAAATCTTGCATTTTTAAACAGTAGTACTCCTGGCCATTTTCCATATGAAAATTCTTTCTTGAGCTGCCAAAAGGAAGCTAATTGTGACCAATGTTCCTAGAGCATGTTACCACAATTTATAAGTTACTAAAGGAAAGTAACAAAAGCATAAAGTGGCTTGCTATATTTTTATTTCTTGTTTTAAATAAAGGGATGCATGTTTGTTACTTTGTAAAATCAGTTGTCTGGCCCTGGCCAAGTGGCTTGATTGGTTGGAGCATTGTCCCATACACCAAAAGGTTACAGGTTCAATCCCCAGTCAAGGATCATATGGGAGGCAACCAACTGGTGTTTCTCTCTCACATCTATGCCCCTCCCTTCCCTTCCTCTCTCTAAATCAATAAAAACATATCCTCGGGTAAGGATTTTAAAAAATCAGTTGTCTGACCCATAGAAGCTAATGATTTTCCAGCCTCTGGTGCATATTTTAGAGTGGGTCGTTTTGGACTTGGAGCCCCACTGCCTGACTGTGCAGCCTGTCAGCTTTGCTGCTGCTAAGAGAGAAAAGACACTGGCTTTTTTGGGATTCTGAATTCAGAGATCCTAGTTGCCTGGACCTGAGGGTGGGCTGAAACCTGATGATGTCTGTGATGGACTAGTCCAACCTCTGAAAACAGACAGTGTCAATGAATCGAACTGAGATTCTGGGACTATGGCTGATTTAAGGTGCCCCTCTGGGGGCATAAACTATAAAAACACCTTGGGTGCCGCCTGTATCACCTGGGACACGGCCAGACNTATGGCTGATTTAAGGTGCCCCTCTGGGGGCATAAACTATAAAAACACCTTGGGTGCCGCCTGTACCACCTGGGACACAGCCAGACGCCCATGGGGAAAGACTTGTTCTCTGATGGAACCACCTGAAGCCAAGCTGCTGGGGGCTCTACATTTCTAATGCGGGGACTAATTGCATCTGAGATGACTGATCACAAGAAACCTCGCTTGTCGACAGCTACAAGTTGGCAGAGAGCCCATCATGGGCAGTGGGACTGCTTGCTCCACCCACTCCAGGCAGATGGGACCGTAGACCCCTTCTCACTGCTGTTGACTTGCGTTTCACTTTCCAGATTATTTGAAACTTGCAGCAGTGGATGGATTGCTTGCTTGTACTTCACTCACCATTCTGCTTAGTCAGGCAGTTTGATTATTAAATATAGCTGTCTCCAAATAGAGATTGGTGTTTCTAGGCTGCTTACTAAATAAATTATCAAGACTAAAGGTGTGTGTGTGGGGGGGGGTATGTAAGCTCATTCTGAAAACTTAAAAATTCAAGGTTTTATCCTAACCAATTCCTAAATATGAAGTCTTTCCGGGTCTCCAATGTGGCACTGGGTCTCCAATGAGCTTCCTGGTAAGAACTTTGTTTTTGCTTGTTTGTTTGTTTTTTATTGATTTGAGAGAGAGAAAGAGAAAGGGAGAGAGAGAGAGATACCAATTTGTTGTTCCACTTATTTATGCATTCATTGGTTGCTTTCTGTATGTGCCCTGACCGGGGATCGAACCCACAGCCTTTGTGTATTGGGATGACGCTCTAACCAACCGAGCTACCTGGCCAGGGTGTGATAAATACTTTGCACGTGCTATCACAAGTCACTGTCGAAGGAATTAAGCATGTCCTGCGTGACTTCATTGGGAAAGGACTCTTGGAAGGTTAAGACAGGTTTCGTCCAGACTTCACCTGTTTGCCCTTTCACTTTGCTGATTTTACTTTGTGTCACTGTGCTAAAGCTTAGCTATGAGTACAACTACAGGGTGTCCCCTTCCCCCCCAAAAATATACACACTTTAACAGCTGATGGCTCAATTTTGAAAATGAAATGTATTTTAATAAAGACTGCCTTTATAGTTATTCAAAGTGTGTGTATACATTTTTCTGGGACACACTATATATGTTGGGCCCTGTGAGTCCTTTTAGAGTCACCAAACCTGGGAGTGGTCTTCAGGACCCCCAATACAGGAATGAAAGGGAACTCTTCAAATTTTTTGCCAAACATTCTCCCAGTGCAACAAGATATAAATTTACCCCCAGAAGAAAAAGAATTTGTTGTATAATATGTAAAATTAGCCCACCTCTGTTTTTTTTTTCTAGTTAAGCCCCTTTCTTTATTTTTATTTTATTTTTTAAAAATCCTCACCCGAAGATATTTTTTCCTTTGCTTTTCAGAGAGAGAGAGAGAAAGAGAGAGAGAGAAACATCGAGGTGAGAGAGACATTGGTCGGTTGCCTCCCTCAAGCACTCCAACCAGGGTGGGGATCGAGTCTGCATCAGAGTACCGGGGACCCTTTAGTTCCCAGGCCAAAGCTCTAACCACTCAGTCAAACCGGCTAGGGGGCAAGCCCCTTTCTTTAAAAGTATGAGAGAAAGATGTTTTCCCACTTTGCCTGGACCAAGCTTCTTATAACAAACCTGGGGCAGCGAAGGAGCAGGAGCAGCAGCAGGTGTCAAGTCTTGGGAGCTGGGAGAGAGCTGCTCTCAGGCTTGTCACCCTGGCCCAAGAGGAGGCCCTGCGCCACCCTGGGAGACCAGCTGCCGGCTTTCCCTGGCAGGGGCTGGACCCCTGCCTTGAGATGCTGCCAGGGGCACAGGACCCACAAGAGTTGCCCTTTTGACCCTGCTCTCATGCTCTGCCTTGCCAAGCCCACGGGGTGTCCCCAAAGTGTCAAGTGGCAGAGACAGCTGCAGCTGAAGTGTGTGTGTGTGTGTGTGTGTGTGTGCATGCAAGCGCACGGGTTTTTGAAAATCATGCTTCATGTGAAAGGTAGTACCCTCTCTTAGAGGGCAGGAAGCTTGAAGTGTGTGTGTTCTCATAAAGCAATCAGACACCACGGGTGCCCAGGTAGTCAGTGAAAATTATCCTTGGGCCACGTAAAGATGAAGTCGCTTTTCAACGCACTCGTTCACATTCTCTGCTTCCAAAGACTGCACAATGAAAAGATGATTCTCCCTTTATTTATTTCACTCTCTCTTCCACTTATTTCCATTTAGTTATTTCATTCTACAAAGTCCCTGTTATTGCAGTAATTTAGATTTTTAGTTCATTTTTTTTTTCTTAACAGCTAGAGGGAAGAAATTATTCCTTGCACTGCTCTCCAGCTCACCTGAGCCAGCCCCGTTCTGGAAAAGAAATGCTACTTACAGAAGAACTAAGCTGCTGTATCATTTTTTAATATATACAGTCAAAATCCATTAATGGTTTTAGACAGTTTTTACTTGCCAGGAAGCAGTGTTTGAATATTTGAAGCTGTGTTCTATTTAGTATCTTGATTGTCAGAATGTTCTTTGGTAGGCAAAATGTCATAACATAATCACCCATTTCCATGAATGTTATCAAGTCACACTGCAAAATTTGCCACATTTTTGAGATGGCCATTAAAGAAACAGATTGCTTGTTGTTTAACCAAGTGTCCTAAAGCAGGTACATGAGAGTATATTTTTATTCTAAAAAGCTATGCA